TTTTTCTTTTCTTTTATTCATTTTTGTATTTTTTTGCAAAAAAATTGTTTATCCAACCAAGGCAAGGGGGGGGGCAACTGCCCCCCTTGCCCCCCCCCCCCCGCGGGCGCCCATGCTACCATTGCTTATTTAGGGAAACGTGGGTAAAAATAGGATACCAGTAAAAATAAATTACATATGTTAACACGAGAAAGTAGGATAATTGAGGATGTTATTTAAAATCGATATGCTAATTTAGGTAAACCTTAGTTAATTTTTTATTGATACCATGGCGAATTTCAGAAGCCTGAGTTATTTATAGATCTCCCGTGTGTCTATAAATAATTAAATACTTATATAATCAGTATTCGATATACAAACTCAAATTTACTCAATCTTGCTAGCATTCCCATTTTGGTTTGCTGAACCCTCGATATCAGAGCCTCTGTTATTTCAACACAAGCATTCGATAATGTTTACTTGGCTGCCAAAACTAACAGGATGTCGAAATTGGAATGACAACAATTTCAACCCCATTAGCACCTCATACACACCGCCCTGAGATATTTCGCAATATGCGAGGTCGTAGAGTGTTTAGTCCCAGACGCAGCCTAGAGTAGCTTCGTGTTCAACTATAATAGTGCTCTCAACCAAGCCTAGAGTAGCTTCGTGTTCAACTGTAATGGTGCTCTCAACCAAGCCTAGAGTAGCTTCGTGTTCAACTGTAATGGTGCTCTCAACCAAGCCTAGAGTAGCTTCGTGTTCAACTATAATGGTGCTCTCAACCAAGCCTAGAGTAGCTTCGTGTTCAACTATAATGATGTTCTCAGCTCAGCCTTGAGTCGACAGAGTAGCATCGTGTTTAGAGACCGACCGAATTTCGGCCTCGGCTTCGGCGCCGACAGTGGCCATTTTATCACTTTCGGCCAAGTTTCGATTTCGGCCGAAACTGAAAGATAACTTTTGGCTTAATTTCGGTTTCGGCCGAAAGACAAAAATTAACTCGTTTTTTTCGGTTTCGGCCGAAATTTACTTAGTCTTTCGGCCATCCGGCCGAACGTGACTGAGGTTTTCGGTCATCTAATTCTCAGCAAAAGCAATATTTAACAACAAACTAAGCAACATTTAAGAACAAACTAAACGATCTTTAAGAACAAATTAAGCGATCTTTAAGAACAAACTAAACGATCTTTAAAAACAAATAAAGTGATCTTTAAAAACAAATAAAGCGATCTTCAATAACAATTATAAAAAAAATTAAACGATCTTAATTAAAGAACAAACTAAGCGATTTTTAAGAACGAACATAGTGATCTTTAAGAACAAAACAAATGATCTTTAATAGTTAACTAAAATAAGAATAAACTAAGCGGTCTTTAACAGAAAACTAAATGTTCTTTATGAACAAACTAAAAGATCTTTAAGAATAAACTAATCGATCTTAAGGAACAAAATCAATTATCTATCAGAACAAACTAAGCGATCTTTATGAAAAAACTAAACGATCTTCAACAACACAATAATCGATCTTTAAGAACAAACTAAACGATTTAAATAAAACCAACTAAAAGATCTCTACAAACAAACTAAATGATCTTTAAGAACAAACTATTCGATCTTAAGGAACAAAGTCAATTATCTATCAGAACAAACTAAGCGATCTTTATGAAAAAACTAAGCGATCTTTAACAACAAAATAAGCGATCTTTAAGAACAAAATAAACGATTTTTAATAACAAACTAAAAGATCTATACAAACAAACTAAATGATCTTTAAAGTCATTTTAATAATGAGTAATAGTTCTTTTAAGTGGAAATTTTATATTTTAATACAGTTTAATAGTGAAGTGTGTTTTAGATTAAATTTTAATTAGGTGAAAATTTTTTTTAAAATTTGTTCGAAAGTGTGACGTACTTTGGGGGGGGTGGGGGGTGTTCAGAGATTTGTGACAGGGGGAGGGGGTAAAAATGGCCGAAAATAGCGTGACGTTCTTTATGGACGGCCCCTCATGCAGGACAACAACTAAAATGGAATAGAATGGAAAAGAGGGGTAACCAAGATTTGTCAGTGCTCATGGCATCAGTGAGCCTTAATACACCCCCTGGACGTGCAAGGTTGATGGCGTGAGTTGATGGTGTGACGTAGCCGCGAGGCACGGCTGGAATTTTCCCTCATCCATAGACCTTTAGTAGCCCCCAGGCCGGTCTCGAATCTCTTACTTACCACCCCAACCCAACAAATATTGAATGTAAAAAAAAAAAAAAAAAAAAAAAAAAGATATAATATTTATGAGTGTTGGTCTAGAGCAGCGGTTCTCAACCTATGAGTCGCAATCCATTTGGGGGTCGCACGACCCTTACACAAGGGTCGCTAAGACAATCGGAAAACACATTCATTTATGAAGTAAAAACGAAAATAATTTTAAGGTTGGGGGTCGCTACAACATGGGGAACTGTATTAAAGGGTCGTGGCATTAGGAAGGTTGAGAACCACCGGTCTATTAGGTATCCAGTGACTGCCTGCAATCTAAGTAAATCGCTGTCGTCGTCCATCACTATGCATACCGGTAGCTTTTTTAAGACGTATTCATAAATTTAGCTTTAAATTTTTTGCTTTAGTTAAAAAAAAAAAAAAAACATTTTTGTGCCCCTGAACTTTGTGCTCGCCTGTGTAACCAATCCTCTATCATTCCCCATACATTAATAACAATTCTTGAACGATAAAAAGATATTAGGTATCCAGTGACTGCCTGCAATCTAAGTAAATCGCTGTCGTCGTCCATCACTATGCATACCGGTAGCTTTTTTAAAACGTATTCATAAATTTAGCTTTAAATTTTTTGCTTTAGTTAAAAAAAAAAAAAAAAACATTTTTGTGCCCCTGAACTTTGTGCTCGCCTGTGTAACCAATCCTCTATCATTCCCCATACATTAATAACAATTCTTGAACGATAAAAAGATGGGGATTGCATAACTCGGAAATACTGAGTTGCCACAAGTGATCTTAGTGAATGACTGCACGGAGCTCAGTGGCCATGGTTTCAAAAGTCTATGTAGCGGGTTACACCAATCTTACCTTGTAAAATTGACACCAACACATCCCCCTCTCCCCCACAATAAAAAAAAAATAAAATATTTGGTGTTGATGAAAACACTTAGTGCCTCGTCTAATCAATGGGGATGAGAAAACAGCCCCAGGAGTACACAAAGTGCACGACCTCTTATACTGTCGGGACTTGTTGACCCACGGCTGCGGGTCACAATCTTTATAAAAATCGACCTTGGAAACTTGCCAAAAGGTTTTTCTTTTCTTCTCACTTTACCCCATTTTTTAACGATTGAAAACAACAGCTCAATCCTTCCCCGGTGAAAGTTTTTACACTACCCAGTGGTGGTTAACTCTAACTCTAATACGGCAGCACCTGTTGCTGTCAGTTGTCAACTACCTGTTATATCCTTGAACTTTTGAACTCCAGTGTTGTCAATCGGAGCGAAGACATGAAAACCTTTTCGACCCACTTCCAATTTATTATTACCTAATTACAGTTATCATTTCATTTATCTACTCGAATTAAATAAAATTCAGCTGGGTCTCTCCTTAGCGTTAACTTAATCATTTAATCATCAGTGTCAGTTCCCTGCTTGTTTTACTAAAAGTTTTAGCTTTTCAATGTTAGAATATATAATGAAAATTTACAAGGAACTAGCGTTGAAAGCCGGTGCGATAAGTAATTTTATATATCAGTAGAGAAATGAAAATGCAAGAGGGTGAAGGTAAAATTTGATTCCATGCAGTGGTAAATGGGAGACAACCTTGGAAAATTTTTTAAGTTTTAACGCTTTCCCTTATTTTTTTTTTACTGCTTATGCATAATGTAATATGCACTACGACTTCTCTAATTTATACGTTTAAAAAACAGAATGAAGACATTTTGATGGTCCATTAATAAATGTACAGGTACAGAACTTGTGTGCATTTATAAAATAAATTCTAGCTACTCGGTGTACTGTATTTTAAGTAATGACAATTAAATTATTAGAGCTATTCCCTCATATTAATTTTAAATATAATTACCCATGCAAAACCTAGTACGGGACAGGTACTCTGAAATCCAGAGTGAAGAGATGAAAACCTTTGACTAACTAGAAATAGTTCATATTTCTGGATTCACCAGATTTCAACTTATCTATCCAGATCTGAAATAAAGCTCTATTTCTTTGTGTAAACTTGAGAGGGAAGTACCTTGGCATTTACTATAGAAAACCACTCGTACTCGAGTTGAGTGAATATCTTTTCTTGTTAAAGTTAAACAGAATATGCAACACCCAGAAACTACTTATACTTACAGAGTCATTAAAATACCATAAACACAAATTCACAATTAATAATGAACTTCATAGTGTGTAGAAATATTTTTATTTAATATCATTGTAAACTTGATCAATACTGATATAAATTAAAATGTGTGGGATAAGATCAAACACATCCAAACATCCCCATTGAAATCAATGTCAATACCACAAAAGAATCGATAAGGTCTTTAACTATTCAATAGAATGATCTACCAAGAATTAATCATAGAATTTGTATAGATATGACTTAACAGTTCAATGAAAATACTGGAAAAAATTAGCATGATGCAAGATCTTTTAGAAAAACTTTAAAATTCAAGAGTCAAGAGGCTAAATCACCTAACCTGCAATTCTCTATATAACTATAAAAAAATAATATGATTTCATTAAATTTAAAAAAGAAAAAAAAATTCTTGGAAGTCAAATAGTTGTTTAGTTATTAAAACTGAAGTTACAACAACAATTTCTCCAAACTCAAATCCTCATTTAAATAATATTCCCAATCCAAATCTTCACTTAAGCAGTTAAAAAAAGAGGGCACAAAAGCGCTCACCATCAGTAGAACAAGACAGATGCTATTTGAAAAATATATATGGACACTTAAAGTAGCACCACCACAATTCCTGGGTATTTAAAAATTAATTTAAAATAAAATAAGCTGATATGAATTACTTGATTACACCAGACCATGAGTATGGCTCAGTACTACTGCACATGAGAGGGAAAGCCATGATTACAAAAGTAAAAATACCCTTTACCCTCCCATGGCAAGATGACTCATGCCAACACATGTTAATGACTAAGCTACAAAACATGTCATATTTGAGTCATCAACAACTGAGATCAAAAAGACATCTTTATTGTAAAAAATATTGATTAAATATAACTTATGTTACAACAATGACTAACTGAGTTGATACACTCAATACATTCATTATGAGATCACAAATTCCTTTTAAACATCAGGAACAAATGTGCACTGTCCAATGCGAGGCAAATAAACATCTTCAATGGCCAACAAAGCCCCTTGACGTGATGACCTGGCCTTGAAAAGGACAGCCTCACCACTGACTGTCTCTTGGTTCTCATGAACCATCAGTTCCTTTAGGCCATGATGATGACGTTTGTAATAAGTGATGCAGCAAGTGATAGAGACATTCACATGTTGTGTAACACCCTTCCTGTCAGCAGAAACTGATTTCACCTCCTGGGCACCATGAATTCTCTCAATTACACCCTCGCCAATAACCTTGTCATAGGTGTCTTGGATCAGAAATTTCTGACCAACATCAACAGCCTGAGAATAAAGAATAAATATGAATGTTATATTTTTTCTGTGTACAGCTGACCTGTGATACACAGACTGTAGAGAGAATAATTTTATTTACTTAGACTTAGACTGCAGAAAAAAAAGATAAATGGCTGGTATTCTTGATGATAATTGTACAAAAACACATGCTATACCTCTGTTGCTCAAGAATTTAAAAATACCTTTTTAAAAATATTTTAAATTATTTGCAGTACCACGTCTTACCTGAATACTAAAGGCAAATCCATTAGGATCACTGTCAGACCAGAAGTAGTTTTCATTGTAGTTGAGTTTGTCACCTGTAAATGTCAAGCGGCATCCATATCCAGTGCCAATAGATTCAAGAGTCCTGGCTTTGCCTTGCCAGAAGAAGTCTTTTGAGTTGGCACGACGCACTTTGTACCGAAAACCAGGGCAGATTTTCTTGTGGACAAAGACACCTGAAACGAGAGAGTATACTAGGTCTGGATATGTTTAATTAAAGAGACATAAAACAAGAGTACTTTATTGTGAGTTGATGACAAACTTGTATGATTTAATTGGGAGCAAAACACACAACAATATAAAACATGACATGGATTTAATTTTAACCAGTTAAATAACTGATGCAACTTAAAATCTCAAGAATTCATCATTTTAGATGCAACTTAAAATCTCAAGGATTCATCATTTTAAGTAGTAATAAGTAATATTTCCTAAAGCCAAAACATATACAAAAATGTTTAAGGGACAAACAAAACCACTATAAATAGACATGGGAAGTACAAGTCAAATAAGCAGGGAGTTCAAGTTACATGAGCAGAGAAAACAAGTGAGAAGAAAGTAATATGACACAACAAGCAATTTGAGAGACGAATGAGGCTAATTCTTACTGTCATTTACTGACTAGGTAAGCAGACAATTCAATGTAACTCTAATGCCCGTCAGTGAGGGGCAATGGTCAATGATGGACCTCTAGGTCCTAAAGAGTCCAATCATCTGGAACAAAAGATTTGCAATAGCAACATGGAAAAAAAAAACAAAATGGGGCAAGCAATTATAGGCTTACCCCAAAATAAAAATATACAAATTACTTTGATGCCTATAATATTATATTGTGTTAACTTGGACCATAAATAGCAAGTTTATTATTTGTTAAATTATAATATGAAAATTAAGCACATTTATTGAACCTCAGAAACATGCCTTGACTAATAATTAGTATGCTTGTGTATTGGCTTGGTATTGAAATGAATATATGAAGGAATATAAATTTAAAACTCATTTGATTGAATTTTAAATGTAGGCTAATTGCTGCATTAGTACCCGGTATTATTATTCATTACATAATGATACTGATTACTGATACAAGTATGAGCTTAAATTAAATTTAAGTACCTGTAGTTTAACATAGTCAACAAAATGGCAATTCATATAATGATTGTAATAATATAACACCACTACTTTTTGTTATTGAAAATTGAGTTGTGAATACTTCGTCAATAAATGCTGGAAATTATTACAATTAGTAAGGCATGACGTGGCAATAACTGAATATTCGATATAGATGTACCAGTAGTAATTGTTCAATTTCAAATAAAAAATTCAAGTATCAGGTGTCTGTACCAAGTACATACCACATAAATAATGGTTAAGAGAAAAAAAAAAGTAAAACTAATAGTTCTAGTTAGTTTAGACTTTTAAAAAATGAAATACGATACACCTATAAGTTATTATAGTTAGGCCTGTATGGCTAATGCTAATGCCAGCTTAGTTATTAATGCTAACTAAGAATAAAAAGGAGATGCACAAATAAAAAATATACAATCCAATTATTGGAATGTGTTCAGGTCTGATCATATTCATAATATTATTCATATGGACCATGGAGCCTACTTGCTACACTGTGCTCTCAATGACATACCGCCCGGTATTGCATTTCAGATTAGCCCACCAGTGGCAGTATTGAAATTGAATTGGTGTTATTTGATTATTGGATTTGAAATTAAATAGGATAGGCATATATGATGTTTGCCGCATCAAGCACTCAATCCCCCAACTCAATCGCCGAAATAAACCTATAAAATAAATAATAGCGATGACTACCTACTAACTTTAACTACTACACCGAAAAACTAATAAAAAATATTAATAGAATGTTTCATTTTTGTCAAAGTCAATGTCAGTTGATTTTATTATAAGCTATTTTTTTTTTTTTATTCTGTTTTTTCTGTTGTTTAGTTCGCTGACAAAGGCTTCCTGCAGACAAATTAGTTGTTAAGTTGTGTTCCTTTTCAGGTTTCACCTTACTTATACTTATACTTATACTTTGTTTTTATTTTTATAGTTTATTTACAGTTACGGAACACTATGCTATGCCACTATGACAATTGGCTATGGCTACATGACATAGACATAAGTATAAGTCATAACAGTGCCAATTTTTGAATAGTAGTCATAGATTAGTCATATAATATTAATCAAAACACTGCAATTCTCCCACACTAAAGTTATCGGGCGAACCTATAGAATTTAGGCCAGACTAACTTTGCCATTACCATCTTTTAGTTCTAGTATTATGACAGTAATCAGTAACTGTAACCAGCATGATCGACCTATTCCTATTCTTAGTTTCATAGGCTTCATTCATCATTGACGTCGTTATCAGAGAAAAAACTTCATCAACATTTTATAACATTTATTAAAATTGCATCATTATTATTTTTAACAACTAATGCCGCCTAATGACAATGACTTTTTTCTGCCTCATTATTACGCTAATTATAATAAGGCCTAGGAAGAAAAAAAGGGCTGATATTAAGGAGGGATGCCACGGCGTCTTTTGTGTGTTTATTATTATAGTTGCAGTGATAGTGATAGGGGTTTAGGTTAGGTTGAGGGATCGATTTAAAGGTTCAGGTTAGGCATAGGGATCGATTTAGGGTTAGGCTTTGGGATCGATTTAGGCTTCAGGTTAGGCATAGTAGGGATCGATATTATTAGGGATACATTCGATTCGTGTAATTCGATAAAAATGTGGCATTCGTCCTTAAAATTTACCAAAAAAAGTCCAGATTTATAGTAGAAGAGGTAACTTATATACCGGTACTAAATTTAAGTATCCTATATTCAAGGGGTTGTTTAACAAATATATAATTATTTCTTACCAATGACAGGCAATTCATGACGTTTAATGCCTTTCACGAGATACTCTGCGGGAATATGACCCTGGTCAGCGCCGTGGCAGACGACTTCGAGTTCTTCCGACTGTTCCTCATCACTGTCCCCAGTAGACAAATGATGCTTCTTTTCGAATAGCGTGTCAATCCTTTCACTATGGTGTGTGTGACTGCCATGGTTATGACCAAAATTTGATAAAGGGATTGAAATTGTAGAGTGGAGTTTAAGGAGTGCAGCTAGGTCCCCTGGACGAAGTGTGGCGTAGGGCGAAATACGACGCTCCAGAAGGCCTTCTCGTTTCACGTCATCATGAGTGGAAGATGAGATGTATTCTTGAATGAATAATTCCATTAAAACTTGGATAGTAACTGTAGGGGAAACGGGTATTATTATTCTGTGATCGAGAGAACAAGCTGTTATGGATTTCAATAAGGAGCTGATCGTGTACCGGTACCTTATAAAAATGCTTTATTTTGATTTTAAATGAGATGATTATTTTTCAGGTGTGTTCGGTAACTCTTTCAAGGCAATAACTAATGTTCCTAGAAACATAGAAGATATTTATGTGGCTCTACCAACCAATCAGATCCCGCGTAGTTAGCGCTTTAGTGATTGGTTCAGTTGAGAATTGGAAAATTTGTTCACGTGAGCACTGCATGGCATGTCTGGATAAAACGTAAAGGGGAGATTTATTTAAAAAATGCTTTTTAAAATTATTTCTTCCTCATTCTAATCTTAGTTTGCCATTTGGAGAAAGCCTATTTGATATCGCGCAATCCACGTTCAACACAGCGATTGGCTCACTCTGTTACTGAGAGTAAAAAATATAACTGACTGTGCTTTCTCTTTTCAAAGACAAACTCGGATGCCATTTGTGGTAGTTTATTTTAGTTAAAATGAAGAATTAAGTTTACCAACATATAGTCTATTCAATTATCTTTCATTTGATACCTCATTTTGTATTACAAACCCAATAATAATATTTTAAATAGTTTTTTAATCCCAACCTCTCACTTCTGGTACCCGGGTGCGAATAGCCACTTCGTATAAGTAGTATAGCGTATCCCAGAGGTTCTTAACTTTTTTTGCATAACCTCTCCCTCTCTTGATTTCATTTTTTTTTTACTTATTCTGGGTCTAACAGTGTCTCCCGAAACTGGGGCTTGTGGGATTTTCTGGCCTGTAACCCCCCCCCCCCCCCCCCCACCAAGTGTTGCGGGCAACCCTGGTTAATTAATTAAGAAAACTTGCTGAAACCCTACTCAAAGTCACAACCAACCCATGGGCATGGAATCAGAGAACAATACAAGCAAGGCATTACAGTAATTACTACGCGTTAACACGTCACGTCTACTTTCTTTGATAATATGGAAATCGAAGTAAAATTGATGTATTTTATTACATTTATTTAATGAGGAGGCAGCCGAGCGATATCTTGCGAAGGCAAATGTGATCTGATTATGCATAAATATGAACATGGTTTTAAATTAAGGTTTATCGACATGTACCGGTACGTCAGAAGTCAGAACTAGAAATCGGGAAAAACCGCTATAGAAATTCCAAGTCACGTGATTAAAACAAAATGGCAGACTGTCAAGATTTATCAACATTATGGCAAAAACTAAACGATGTTGAACATTTAAAAGATGTGCGCTTTTTACGCATGTGCATTTATGAGGTAAATGAAAATGAACTATGAAAAGTAAAAGTAAACAAGACAGTTTTTTTCTGTCGTAATTTTTATCCGTTAATAAAATAATATTGATTCATACCGGTATATAATAAATAATAATATTAATATATATAATATAATAAATTAGAATTAGACTATAAGTTCTATATAAGTTATATAAGTTAAAATAATAATAGTGATAGTTAATATAAACTATAAACAACATAATTATATTATACATTATATGTAATCATATATATATATATTTAAAAGTGAACATTTGTTTGTTCCACAAAGAAAGGCTTTTACACTTACACAGATTGATAGATTTGAAGCGACCTGCGAACTTAAGACTAAGTCCTAAATTTATCCCTAAACCCAACACTATCACTAACCTGAACCCTAAATCTAAACCTAACCTGAACCCTAAACTTATTCCTAACCTGGGATTTGACTCTATCAGAACCAGGGTTTTGACCCTATCGGGACCAGGGACAAAACATGCAAATGACGTTGGGGTGCTATCTCTTCACATTAGCCTGCAGCCAATTATATATATGAGCTACATAAATAAAATTAACAACAAATACTCCTACATGAATTGGTGGATCTTTACCAAACTTAGTACACATACACTTGATTATCCACATTCAAAGACCGAAGGTTACTAAACACATCATAATAATATATCCATTCCGCTGAGGCAGGAGGCCCCATTTTATTTTTTCTTATTAGACAACAATATAGGTTCTATTTGAATTGACGGATATAGGCCTAGTGTGGTAGCAATACCCTTTACAGTCAAAACTTAAATATAGGTTGATTTAAAACTAAGAATATTCAATCTAGAATTTTCCAGAACGTTTCATAATTTAAAGACGCTATATCTATGGCATTTTTAAACCGATTTTAATCAGACAAATTTGAAGAATAATTTATCTGTATGATTTTTATGGGGCCCCCATCTCAAGCAAAACTGATTTGGTACACTTATAGAATGGGCCCCCAATCAATGTAAATGTACTATAGTTATAGTAGTGTATTTAGTTGTATACTTTTTCGTATTAAATAGTATTAAGTAGAAAAGTCATTTTTTACAAGTTTCGAGGAGGGTAATAATTATCAACTAAAATATTCCAGAAGGTTATATATTGTTCTACGGGGATATATATTGGTATCTAAAAGCTTATTGAAATTATTTTATTATTATTACCTATTATAAGTGGTTTTTTATAGTGTGGTAACCCAGCCTAGTGCTGGGCTCACCACGCTGTACACAAAATTTAACAAACATAACCAAAAACTTAAAATCTGTGCTTGAACAGGGAGCCAATAAAGTAGTGGTGTGACGTGATCAGGTTTTTTTGCCTTGGGAATTAGTCTAGCAGCTGAGTTTTGAACCTTTTGTAATTTTTCTAAGAAGTGTTTTGGTGAACCTGATAGAAGAGAGTTACAATAGTCAAGACGAGAGAGAACTAGAGCACAGACTAGGGTTTCTGTTGCACCAACTGTGAGGTATTGGCGGATGGAGCTGATTTGACGAATAATGGTGTATGCAGAGCGACAAATGTGAGAGATATGATTATCGAGAGACATGTTGTTGGACAGAATATAACCAAGATTCCTAGCGGAGAATGTAAACTGTATATCAGAGTTAACTACATGAAATGAAGTTGTGAGAGCTGAGTTAGAGTATGATTTGTGATTGTGAATAAGGAATGCTTCCGTTTTGTCATCGTAAAGCTTCAACTTGCTAAATGTCATCCAAGTCTTGACATCATCAATGCTCTCCCGCAAAGTCCGCATAGCAGAATCAACAAGAGAGGGATGGGTATGCTTGTATAGCTGCGTGTCATCTGCGAATCACTGGCTCTCCACAGCATGCCCCCCGAGCAAGAAGAGCAGTGGCCTGGTATACATTGTGAATAGAACGGGCCCAAAACGGACCCTGTGGCACTCTGTACACCAAATCAGCACTGCCGGAGGGACAGCCATCGACAGCGACCGCCTACGTTCTAATTGAGATGTAGGACCTAAACCAAGCCAAAACTGATCCTGAAATTCCAAAGTAATTTTCAAGGGTTTTTTGAAGGGTTTCATGGTCAACAGTGTCAAAGGCCACACTGAGGTCTAAAAGGATCAGGATGGAGATATCACTGCTGTCCAATGCGAGCAAGAGGTCATTGGTGACTCTCAAGAGAGCTGTCTCAGTGCTATGGAAACGTTTATAGGCCGACTGATTAGGACTGAGAAGAGAGTGGTCGTTTAAGTAAGCAAAAAGTTGTTTTAGAACTAGTTTTTCAATGACCTTTGATAAGTCCTATCGAGAACTACCCGAAAACGGGATCCCACCAGGAAAACTGGATCACAACCGGAAATGGGATCCACCGGGATCGGGACTCCACTAGGGAACAGGATCCCACGGGAAATGGGAACCCACGGGGATTGGGATTCTTAGAGATCACACCGGGAAACAGGATCCCACCAGTATTGGGATCCCATGGGGAAATGGGATCACACCAGGATTATGATGTATAGAAACAAACAATAACACATATAACATAATGCATGGTACAATCGCAAACATTTTAACAGAAGAGGAAACTGAAGACACAATCTGTAGTATTGTTAAAATGGATGTACCTGTTATTAAACAACCGGGTTTGGGACCCCACCGGGATCGGAATAGCGACGGATCAGGAACCGACCGTTAATGGGATTTCACCGGGTATATCGGCTAGGATTAAATATATTATAATCATTAAATAATATTAATTTAGTGAAAAAAATAAATAAATCAAAACTATAGCAATAAATTTCATTTTCAGTCAGTCAGTCACTCGCAATCAATTTCAGTGTATCAACCAATATCGATCATCTTTACTTTAACAACTTAATAGGTAACAAGTCAATGTGATTTGAATATGAGTATCACTTTTAAAAACAGATCCCTGCACAGGTGACACAACTCTGTAATTATAAGAGTTTTGGACTGCGATAAAGCTTTAAAGTTGATTAATCAGACACAAACAATTTGTGTAAATAAAACAATATATTTTATAAATGGTAAGCCCCGTGTATTTCAATTTCAGCTTAAAATATAATATTACAAAATACAAATGTACGTTAAACGTTACGGTAAAATGTCTTCTTCAGTCCAAAAAACATTTCAATAAGTATAAATTAAATTACATAATATATATTAACATGTATCCTACCTAAAATAATTTTTTTGTATAAAAATGATAATATTAAAGAACAATTAATAATAAATAGAAAAAAGTAAAAAATGAACACATTTTTAAACAAAATTAATAAATTAAAAATAGCAAAAATCACACTAATTTAATTTTTTTAAAAATATTTGTGAAAAACCATTAAATCTAAAAACTACAATTCAACCTATCCTGAATACTAAGTCAGGATCCCTAACTCAAGCATAAATTAACCCTTAAATAAATTTTGTTCCCCCCTAACTTGAGGGTGCCGTAAATCTTCAAAGCTAAAATCTATGACCTTACGCTAACATGAAACCTGAAACCATGTGTTTGTGCTCTACAGTTACACACTGTACTGAGAAAATCATACATTTTAATAAAAAAGATTAAAATTATTTTTACAATATTCAAAATAATGAAAACCTAACTTACAGTTTCATCAAATACTCTTTTACACCCTTTATTACAAGTTGCACTGTAAATCATATGAATTAAGTCAAGATCTGTTGGTCACCAATCCATTTATCAAATGGTCATACTTGATGGGGACCGCGTTCTCATATACTGGGTTTCATTCAAAATTCCAGTCCATCAGCGTATTAATATAAAAAAAAGAAAAGTTAACTCTAATAACAATCCGCAACTGAACATGGATAGCTCGCTCATAAACAGAGACTCAGGGGGAGTTGTAAATTGTAAATTGACCAAATTATTAAATTGTTGTTTTGTAAGTTTGTTTAGTTAAAATCTAGCTTATGATTAATAATTAAAACATTGTTTGATAAAGGTTTTATGCTTAAATTGGCCTATAGTGTTGTCAGTTGACTTGTAATAAATGTGTAAAAATCAAAGACCATTTGCCAAATATATGATTTTTTATTGTTGTTATCAGTGTAAATATAATTTCAAGCCTGTGATATATTGCAAGTTTTTTAGACTTCCTTCATCCCTTGTTAAATTTTCACAGAAATTTAACTCCCTTTCTACTGAAATCTGAACTGTAAGAATATTATTCCCTGATTATATTACGTAATGAAACTTAATTATGTTGCTACAATTTAAATTAAAATTTACTCCATATATTAGAGTTAGATCTCCCTCTTTTGTTAAATTGTTACTGCTTTTTTTTTTAAACCCCATGCAATGAAGCTATTATTCTCCCTTCCCATTTCATTTTTTATCAATCTGAGATTTTAACGTCATACCATTTGGTGTTTGTATATTACCGAGTAAAACTCACCAATCCATGTGAGGTGTAAAAATGCAAGTGATTAATTGTCTGGAAGAAGGAACTATATGGGCAGCCATATTTGAAAGCATGTTAAATAGGCAGTGAATAAGTCAATTTATGAGTGTGGACGTATGTAGAATTTTGAGTAACATGATGTAATAATAATTATATTTCTTAAGAAAGTCAAAAGATTTATAGTGAGTCATTGTGAATTATGCAATACATTTGCTAAAAGGGTTGTAAAAATTCACTCCAAATAATTTTACTATTACAAAATTTAAATTTCAGAAATACCACTAATAACTTCTTATATAACTAACCGGATACAACACCCACTCCAACCATAAATACTTACCTGTTGTTAATGTTGTTCACCCTATCCTCCAATGGGATTCAAATTCATTAATAACACATGTTTGAATCCCAGCTCACATCTATGCATGCTCACTGAGTGCTGAAAATAATTTTTATAACTATCCTTGTTACAAAATGCAGTGCTTTTTTTGTGCAGGGTATGCACCGGTACGGCGTACCGGCAACTTTTTCAATGTGGGGAAAAAATTATTACTTTTCTTGTATTTTAAAGTTTCGTATTAATTAATACGATATACTAATAAAGTAATAATAAAACAATTTAAGTTGGTTAATTATAAAATAAAATTGTTTTAGACATTTAGTATCTTTGCAGTTGTGATTTAGCTTGCATCGAGGTGCGAACTGGTAGTTAAAAGTTAATTGGTTATAATACTCCCTGTTTATTTTCGTATGCGCCAGCGGACGTCACCCCCCCCCCGGCCAAGCCACATGTGGTCAAGTGCAAACAAGGGTGAGTGGGTGGGGGGAAAATGCGTAATGTGTGCGGACGTCATTCGTGGACAACCCCTAGACTCTATGCTTTATGTATATATATATTAAAAATAATAATTTAAAAAAAAAATTGTTTGCGTGCAATATATGATGTAATAATATTGCATTGTTGATTAGTCACCAGGAAAAGTCAGACAATAAGTGCAGAGGTGAACTAGGCCTATTCATTCACCCTACCTGGTAGGCTATTACTATTAGTATTAGTGAGTAGTATCACGATGAAAGTTTGGATCAAGACAACGGACAACTTTTATTTCATATTTTACAGAGCAGTTCTGTCAATTCAATAAATATTCCACTATAAAGCAGTGCTTTTTTTGTGCCGGTACGCACCGGTACGGCGTACCGGCACCTTTTTCAATGTGGGGAGAAAATTATTACTTTTCTTGTATTTTAACGTTCATTATTAATTAATACGGTATACTAATAAAGTAATAATAAAAAAATTTAAGTTGGTTAAGTATAAAATAAAATTGTTTTAGACATTTAGTATCTTTGCAGTTGTGATTTAGCTTGCATCGAGGTGCGAACTGGTAGTTAAAAGTTAGGCAATCCATCACTGAGTACCGGCACCTATTTTTTTACAAAAAAAGCACTGACAAAATGTATAATTTTTTCATAATTTTTATATCACAAGTAAAATGTTAGTACTTTAGGAACAGCAGATGTATATGGTAGAAAAAATAATGCATAGATTTTCCTAATTCTGTAGATTTCAAATGTGTCTTAAGTATTTAATTATATTTTACAGGTACTCACACTATTGAACAATGGGTGCGATGTTACCCCAGCCTTGCCTACTGTGGTGAAACTTTTGGCTTACAGTGACACATTTGTGAAGCGTGTTGCAGGGGAAATAATTGGAATACTTGCAGAGCAAAATCAAGAAATGGTTCTCCTGGCAACAAATACTTTAGTTCAAGATTGCAAGGATGTCAATCCTGTCATTCGTAGTCTGGGATTAAAGGTGCTTGGATCTTTACAGTCTCCACTAGCCACAGAGATGCTACACACAGCTGTGATACAAGGACTTGAAGACACCAGTCCAAATGTACGGAGGTGTTCTGCTCTTGCCTCAGCTAGATTACATCACATCGCCCCTTCCATTGTAATGGAGGGTGGAATATGGGATTCTCTTTATGGACATCTGAGTGACCAAGATTCAGCCACCGTTGCAAGTTGCTTGTGTTCTCTTGAAGAGATTTTTGTTGGCGAGAAAGGGATTATTGTTTCTAATAAGTTAGGGCTATATTTAATAAATAACTTGCTTACCTTTACCCCTTGTGTTCAGAGATTTGTTTTGCAGTTTTTGTTAAAACATTCACCAAAAACCAAATCTCAAGTTTTTGAGCATTTAAATTCATTAGATGAAAGTCTGTCTAAAAACAGCTCCATGGCTACCACTCTGTGCGCAATGGAAGTGTTTTGTCATTTAACTAGCAATATACCTAAAGTTAAACAAAAGGCATATGCAACGGGTTGGAATTCTATAAAAATGAATCTTGCCAGGGAGAGAAATGAGGAAATGGTAGCAGCAGTTATAGACTATCTCGTTAGGACAAATTTTCCAGTGAATATTATTGATCAAGACTTTAACAAGTTCTTTTGTCGGGATGATGATGCCCAGTTTCTAATGAGGCAGAAAATAAAAATACTGTGCAAGCTGATAACAACAGACAATGCTGAAAACATTTTAGATGAGTTTTTGTCTAGTGCCAGACGTCTAGATATCGATGCCGTCAAGGACATGGTCTGGAACTTGATAGATGCAGTTTCAACCAGATCGGAAGTTGAAATTAGCTGTGTACATTTTCTTAAGCGACTTATTCAACTTGGTATTGTTGGTGTAACAGAGTGTGTGATTCAGGTATGATAATCCATCACCTTTTTAAACATATTTAAGTCAACATAATATGAAATTACTTACATTGTCTAATTTGAAAACATTATTAACTTACCTTGTTTATAAATTATCTGGGTGTCAAGTATTTGTTAGTTCACTGTCTAATAACATATGCTATAAAATCTGACTATATATTAATAATAATAATTACAAACTACATTATTTTCTACACCATCTCATTTGTTTCGTTTCTTTCAGGTTTTAGCTCCTGTTTCATTTTCAGATGATAACTACTGGGCTCTTTTAGCACCTTGCATTCAAGACAACTATCAAGAAATAAAATCAGCTGTAGGAAAAGTAGCTTTGTTAGATATCATAAGCTTCCACAGTCAGAATTTTAGCAGTGCTCCTGAGATTTTAGAGCAAATGATGAACGAGCTTGAGGATGAGGTTGCAGACAGCTTAGAGCAGCAGTTAGTTCACCAGAGTGAAAACCTGAGCCTTCACCAAAACCACCAAATGAAGCTTGGTCTCTTGGGTGCCATGGTGAGGGTATGCCTCCACCAGCCAGCCAAAATTCAAATGATGCTAGCTAAATTAATGGAGATGTGTATAAGAGATCAGAACAGAAATGTGAGGGACAGGGCCCTGTTCTTGTATGGCTTTTTGGAAAGTAAAAGTCATATAAAAGTTTCTTAAACATAGATTTACAAAAATATAAGTTATTTTGTTTTTAGATTTGTGACAATAGTAGACAATAGATATGTGATTATGATAGATAAATCTATGCTGTTAAAATAAACTGTTAGGTAAAGCTTGTTAGTTAGCCAGCTAAGCATTTTACTGTTTCCAGCTGTAGCTCACTCTTTTTAATAAGATTTACTTACTGGTACCTTACCAGGTATTTTCCTCTGCAGGGTTTTAATGGCACAGAACAAAAAGTTAAAGATGTTGTGGTCTTGGTTAATGTCAATTGATATAGATAAATAATAATTGTGCAATATCTTTTCATGTACCTTTTGCTTGTTTAAATTATTGTAAAGATAATTAATTTATGTAATTTATTGTATTTTAAAATGAGTTATATAATTTACTACTTTGTATTGACATAAAGCTGTAATTATAACTTACTCAAAAAATTTTAAAACTAAAATAAATACTCTGTATTAAAGGTCCTTGATTCAATTTTTGAACATTTTGGCACTCGGCTTTTGGAAGAAAATTCCAAAATGTAGATAATTTATTACCAGTACTTTCGATTAGTAACAAGTACATCATGCAAATTTTCACTGAATTCTTATGCTTGCATTACTTGTAGGCTGCATCATTGAAAAATTTAAATTGTTGATGCTCATTTCTTTTCTAGAGTTATGTGCACATCAAATTTTCCCATCATGATATTATTCAGATATCTCTAAGTTGTTAAATTGTAGCAAGAATTTAGGTTAACTGGATTCAACATTGAAATTTTTACATCCCTTTGAACTTTGTTATTGTCATTTTTTGTTTACTGTGCACTCATCATACACTTGTAATCAAAGAATTCTGGGAAAGAATAATTTCCTTTTAACAAGAATCGAGGCTGGCAAACCAATATGCCTGGTGGAAAAGTGCACTCAAAGTAAAAAAAAATATTTAAAAAAAAAAAAATATTAGAGCAGGGGTCTCCAAACTTTTCAGCCTGAGGGCCGCATTAACTAAAAAACAGCATTTCGGGGGCCAACTACACACTTGAGGTCCAAATACAAAAGAATCAAAACATGGATGTTGTTTTTAATTATTTATTTAATAATATTTTATTCAGTTATTATTTAATAACACATTGATACACTACACATGTATAAATGGGAATGGTGAAATTGTTTCCTGGTTGCCAGAAACACCTCAAGTGTTGGGAGCATGCTAGAAACACTGGGCTGGTCACCATTGGAAGAACGACCATGATTATCCAGGCTCAGCATGTTGTACAAGATCAAAAATGGGCTGGTCCACTGCTCCGGCATCAAACAGAAACTCGTCCATCTTCCCCCCTAGACAGTGACGAGGCCACGACAGGCAGCTCTGGCTAATAAAAACAAGAACTCAGTACAGGAGCTCCTCATTCCTGCCAAAGACAATAAGGGACTGGAACAAGCTGCCAAAAGCAACTGTTGAGGCGGCTACACTCGATACGTGTCTATTGCCTCCTGTCTTCCAACCCCCAGTTCATAACACCACTGCTGAGTAGCCCTTGCAACCAATGAAGTATCCCCTTGAAAACCATGCACAGTAACATCGCGAACCCTTCTGAAACATAGGAGCCAGAATGATCAATTCATTGATCGTGGGCCCTCAAAATAAAGAAGAAGAAGAAAATAGCAGACATTTCTGGCTTTAGATTTAATTTCCCACACATCAACAGTGACCTAAGATTATCATCGGAAAAGTTTGTTCTCAAATTGTTCTTCACATATTTCATACTTGAAAATGTTTGTTCACACTGGTATGTTGTTTCAAAGATTAAAAGGTTCCTTAAATGCAAAAGTTTTGACATTAAGAAAGTCTTCCTTGGCAAAAACTGGTAAAACCCACCAGTCCTTCTTTTAACTGGTTCCTAAGGAGGTCATTTGCTTGCAACTCAATGACCTCCAGCTGCAGTTCATCTGGGCAACTGGCCGAATCTGTTTCAAATAGGTTTTGAAACAGTCTCACTTCTTCTGCCTTTGAATCCAAGTCAGAAAACCACTGCTGAAACTGCAGCTGGAAGTCTTTGATGATCTCGCAAGCAAATGACATGGGGAACTCTGCTTCAGCCATGAAAGATCAGAAACTAGATTTCCTCTCTAGGGCGCCGAAAATAAGTTTCAGAAAATTTGAATGACTAGTTATGTCTGCAGCAAAGGCCAATTTATATACAGACTCTTCATCAGACAGAATGGCTGTGTCTGGCCTTTACTTTCCAGGAAGTCACCTATTTCCTCTTAACTTAAATATTCTGCTCAAAACTTTCTCACAACTTAGCCATCTTACTGCTGCTATGGAATATAGTAAATCTTGCAATTCTGTTTCTGTATCTATCAACAGGTCTCTGAACTGTCTATGGTTGAGCCCATGTGACCTTATTAAATTCAACATCTTCACCACACTGCTAATGTCCACATATTTAGCACACAAAGCTTGCTGGTGAATAATACAGTGCAGGAACATTGGTTGTAGAATGTTTTTCTCATTACACATCTGCATCACTAGTCCAACCAAGCTTTTCTTTATGCCACTCATGTTCTTTCCTCCATCAACAGTCAGGACCCAACGCTATATTTTCACTTTTTGTTTTGACTTTTCTGGGCAAAGTTCCTCAGCCACCACGAACAAACATTTCTACACTACTTCACCATCTGTAAACGGTTTGCCAATTTTAGCCAGGATATAGGCAACTTAAAACATACACTTTTCATTTTCATTTGAAGATTTCCTGAACAATGTCCTCTAAGATGTGTTGATTTTGTAATTTAGAAAAAATTTTGGCATGGACGTTACCCTCCAACGCCGGCCGTAGTTTGGAGACCCCTGTATTAGAGGATTCTTTTATTCTAGCTATTGATAATTGATCAAAGGGAAACAAGTATGCTTCAAAATGAAAATCTGGATTCATTAATAATTTTAAATCTGAATGTTGTTAACAGTTGGTCAATGTTTCATTACATTTATCTTATGTGACCCAGTGGTCTGCACAACTCTTTATAATACCGGTATGTCCTATTTTATTTTCCAGTTTAACAATTAGTTTTATACCAGGTAGTTATACTTATCACATGCCTAAATATTATTTCTTCTCCAAGAAGCGATAAAACTTTGTAGGTATTTAAGTTACCCACAAGAATTGGAGAGCCTGTATAAGGTGTGTACTGGTATCACTCACTCACTTTGATTCATTTTAAATATTAAGTCAAAATAACAAGATTAGATTTAAAATTTCACTTTGGTTTTTTTAAATTTGAAAATGAAAATAACAGATGAAAAAAATACCTTAAATCATTTGTCTTATTTTTCTTTATTACATATAACAACACTAAGAAATAAAATAAAAAATGAATCTGATGAATTACGGTAGTCATTTATTTAGTCGAACAATGATTTTATGAGATTTTATTTAGTCTTGGTTGTTAAACTGTCAGTAAAATTAGAAGTTAGTATTAGAAGAACTATTTTCCAATAACTTTTGGAAATCTTCTGTTTTGGACATTGAGCAGCCAGCCATATGCTCAAGTGTATGCTGAAAACTAACAGTTACCTGGATATTATGGTGGAAGGCTGGGACTCCAAGGAAAGAGATGCTATGAAAATCCTACTCATGTTAGAAATCACCAATTCAATGTTTTCACAGCATTGTAGTTGTAGTTTAGGATATGACCAATATAGCCATCGGAGCTATGGTTTCCTCAAGTATGGAAAATATTTTTACTCTGTTATATAATTATGTAACAGCTTATTCCTTTGTTACTTTTAACAATCCTTTAAATACTTTTATCCTGTAAAGCTAAATGTAATATTAAAACAATAATTCCATAAGAGTTATAAAAAGAAAAGGAACTCTGCAAATATTGCCTGATGTGATTTATCTAATATCCCTATTCTAAAGCAGAGATTATACAGCTACGCTTCAGTTAAGACCATGAGTGGACTATATCATATATTAATATTGAAATGTATATTTTACTATCTCAAATAAATCTGCTTTTAAATTTCACCAAGATTTGCTTTCCTTGATTAAAATCTCTAGTATATTTCAGATAGTTGTCTTATTTTTAGATGAATTCAGCTGCTCCTGCTTTCTGCAGCTACATTGTCCTCTGCCTCAGGAACACGGGCCACTTGGATGGAGTTGATAACCAGCATAGTATACTGCTCTCTGAACACTGAACAAAAACAAATGAAAAATCAAATTTGAATTATTATACAACATCAATAGCGGGGGAAAAAAATTTATCCTAAAATTATTGACAAGAATGAAAGGGTTAAGTAAAGTTAAGGAAGTGTCTTTATTTTCATGACTTCATACAAAGTACACGCTAACCAATGTAGCATGATTCTCATTAAATGTATTTACAGGGTAGTAATATTTTATATGAATATACAAAAGTATAGTTTTAACTGGGTGATAATTTCTAGGACATAAAATAATTTTTGTCCAAGATATACTTACAGCGGAATCTTTTAAAATTTTTCCTCTTTCGATATACCAGCCAAATTCGATTATGAGACAATGTTTTCTCAACAACTGTTGCATCAACTCTCACAACCTCTCGACTGGAAAAAAAAAGGTAAATAATAATGAAAAAAAACAGCAATTCATCTACCAGTATTTAAATAAATTTTTTTTTTAATTTGCCACAAGCAGCATACTGGTATGTCATTTTTCAATAATAATTAGTACCGGTAAAATAAAAAATGTGTGAGCTCATATTAATTTATGGTTGTGCAATTTAATATCGAAAAAAAAAGACAACCAATTTTGGAAATGTATTGGCACTATGGAGAGCTTCGGTCTGGTGATATGTCTGTTGGATCAACTCCTTTTTAGAGAAGAAAACAGTACTGGTTCTCCCTGCATGGCTGTGATTTGAGTCTGAGAAAGATCCACCAGAGGTGACCCCAGGACCCCTCCAGTACTCTGCGCATCAACAGTTGGCAGTTGTTAGATGGATGGCTTGGGAATTACATGAGGTGTGCTTTTTGCCCAGGTATGCGTGAGTACACAAACCCAGGTGGACCAAAGACGGCAGAGCCTAGGAACATCTCAGGTAGCTCATAATGGACAGCAAACCCAGACAGGAGATCTGGTTATGGAATGATTTAAATATGATTGCTAAGTCGACAGAGCCAGGTTATTGTAACCCATCCTAGAGTGATAACCAATGAAGGCTATATGCTAAGTATCAAATAAAGTTGCCTGCTTGTGACTTGAGCTCTTGCTTCCATTTGTGGTGATGCGGAGGTGACATTGATGACGTATAAGGTTAATGTTTGGTGCTAAGAGAGACGGCCTGAGTCCCGTTGGTCACCACCTCCAGAAGTCCCGATGGATTACGCCCCGCTGCAGGGGTACGAGTTGCTTTCCTTTGTTCCATACCCAATTAGCGCATGCTAGGTTTAGGTGAGTGTCTTTGTTCGGAACACAAAAGCTGTTTGGGTAGGTCATGTTGGTATGCCCCGAGACTGAGTGTGAGCATCTGGGTGCGACATGCAGGATAGAAACTTGAGCTACAGTGATGGAAGCTGGAAGCTCTGACCCAAATAGATTTTGCTGTACATGCCCTGTCTAGTGGACACTACCAGATCCATATGCACAAAGACGAGCCCAAATATGTGGGGCATTCTCAGCTAGGCTATCAAGCGGCTGCCCCAATGCTTATACAACAGGGAGACTTTTGGTGTTTGGTCAAACATATACTGTTGCAAGGGTGTGATCTGAGCTGAGGATGTTATTCTTCATGAATCGCCAGTCAAGAGTAAAAACTCAGCAAGTGCTTCATTCAAAGTCTGGCCTTGTCATGGTGGACCCATCACACCTAAATCATCAATAGATGACATTTTTGGTGCATGCATTTTTTAAAAATGTAGCATCTATTTCTGCAGATAGACTCTCTTACAAAGTGTATTTTAAAAAGGCTTTCTGTTCCCATTAAAAGATACATTTAAAATAAAGAAACTACCAAGTTCTTTAAATATATAATAAATAAGTGTTGCACCATTTAAAAAAAAAACCAGTTCATGGTCGTTGTAGGATGATGTGAAAATGAATCACTAAATAAAACTTTCATTTTCTTTTATTATGGGTCATTTTTGATAACACGAACATGCACCAGAAATACTGTCATAATAAAAGAACTTTTGAATTAATGAACTATCAATTTTTAGTTATGAAATGAAATATTTTAAAATCCTTTATATTAACTTCACCTTTGTTCATAGTTGGCAAAAACTTCAAGCGGCTAATTGACCTACTATCCGTCAACGTGTAAAGCAGAAATTTGGGACATAAACTCGTTGCCGCTGACAACACATTCTACCAAATGTTCAGCCCCACCCTCCAACCCCAACTACTGAAAATTGGGTTTGTTATAAAGTGCGTTACTTGTATGCATGTTTGTCAAATTTTCAGCCCCACCCCTGATTCCTAGATATCATATTTTCTAAAGGCTTTATTCAAAAAACTTTGTTTTTAGGGGTTGTGTTACTATTCTTTTCACTATTAAAACATAAGCTTCTTTGTTAATAGAGAAATATGTATTTTGATTTAAATACCATTAGCATCTTTAAAGGTTATTTTGGCCAATAGTTAAATATATTTCTTTTAATTGTGTCATTTTTTTTATGCTAGTAAATAAAGAATTTTCAACAGACAAAATCTAGAATTTACAGCTTTACACAAAAGTTGTTTTTTTAAAGTTGAATCATAGAAAGATCAGATCTCATTAAAATGATTTGGCTTAAATATGTGTCACATATTGGAGGAAATAAAATTAAAACGAATTTTGTATCTTGTCTAGTCAGTTTAAATTTTGTCTCTTGTCCAGAGCTGTAAATTATATATCTTGTCTAGAACTGTGGTGAATAAATTTATTTTTTAACAATCTTGTAATCTGATCTGGATATATTTTTACGTGGTATCTGTTTTCATCAACTATAATAATACTAAGTGGTAGACAATATGTTACAATATTTTATTGGTGATTCAATGTTATTTTTTATTATTGGTGTGTTTGGTTGATTTCTTAAAGAGGTTAAGAGTACTGTGTGTGCAAACTATAGCTCATATCCAGATACATGCTTAAATGTGTGAAATTTTATATTTGCTTCTATCCAAAGGGATATATGATTCTAAATTTGCTGGGGAAAAAAAAGGTTTGTACTAAAAATTGTACAAGTGCACTTTAGTATTTTCAGATTTAAAAAATTTAGAGTTATTCAAATTTTTAGAGCAATCATATTCTATGCATTACAATAATTTTTTTTTATAGAAACAGTTCACTTATTGCTGGTATCTATAATTGTCAAGGGCTCTTACCTAAGGAGAGGCTGTCCAAAAAGCGTAAAATCCTTGCCACCAACAGCTAGGACCTATTCCAAAAACAAACATAAAATTAATAAGTAGTCATTTTTTTCATGAGGTAGATAGAGGAAATTAATTTACATATAAACTAATTTGACAATGTGGGATTTCTCTATTTCCAATGTCAGTAAACGTCAGTCAAATCCAGTCTGCAAACTTTTTTTTATTAAATGTCTTAGTACTCTTAGAGCTAATAATTAATGTAACATTTTTAATTTCATGCTGCTATGGTTATTAATTTACAAGTTGCTTAATGGCCCCTGAACTGTTTTTACTTTTAAGTCTTAAGCCATAAAAATATAATTCCCACTTTATCCTTTCAACTTAAAAGTACAGCCATCACAGTATAAAATTTTGTACCTTTTCAAGACGTAACTTATCACCAACAGTTGGGGGGAAATCAAGTTTGACAGCAATGATATCTTCTGTAGTAACTTTGTGTTGCATGCCTCTGATATATACAACAGCAAACAAACGCCCAGCCTCTCCTATTTCTAAACTCTTATTAATTCTCTCACCAATACCTAGAAAAGACAAATTAAGAAAAAAAGTTACCTTCCATTCATTTATTTTCATTTAGAATAATGAAAACACTTTTGTCCTCATTTTGGTTTAATTGAAAAGATTCACTTAAAACCAAAACAAATCAGTGTGAACAGAATGTACATTACCGGTATCAGATGTGATTGTTAATATAAGTAAGTAAAATATCAGTTATCCAAAGACAACATATTTCAGGGTTTTAAAATGTTACAGGAGACACTAAAAACCTAATAGCTTTGAAATAAACTTTTAAAACATATGTTTCATAGTGTGCCAGAAAATGTACTTTCCACCAAAACAATTTTAGAAATATTTTTTACAGGACATTGTAAATACCTAGATCTTAAATAAATGAAAAAAACAACAAATAAATTAACTTAATAATTAAAAAAGAATTTTGAAAATTTTCTACTTAACACGTTTAGAGAGGAGAGTTACAGTGACAATTTAAATTCTTTCACACTAGCAGTATAAAGTAATAATTATAATACCGGCAATAATAAAAGGTAAAAATTGTCCCATTAAAGGATCAATACCTTTTTGTAAATCTGCATCAGTGAGAGGAGTGTAGTCTTCAGATTGTTCTATGCCAGCAACTCTGAGTATATAAATGTATAAAAATAACAAAGATACAAGGTTTTATTTTAAACAAAGCTTTCAAAATTTACATAAATGTGTTTGAAATATTTCTTGTCTATCATTTCATTTAGCATTGATTGAATATTTAATCTGGAATAGTACAAATATGACTCACATATAATTTATTTTTATATTTAAGAATTACCCTGTGTTCCAGCTGACAACAGTGTCTGCTAACTGTGTTCCCTTGAAGCGACAAGAATTCTGCCATATTGGTGTAAAATTTGAAAAGACAAAGCGGTTTCCAGGAAGGCTCTGCAGGCTAGCCCCTCCTAAGTTTGTTGCCAAGCTTTTCCATGATGTGTTTAAATGTCTATGTTGAGTTTTAAATTCTGTAAATTCAGAATAATTTACAAGAATAAAATTCATATATTGTTACTCAATGAGTTTTCTGTTATTTGTTAATTATGTAAAATTTATCAAAATATCTATTTGTGGTTAAGTGGAATTAGACATGGTGCAATCCTTGTTGTAGTAACTACAATTAAGGTTGCACCAAAAAGCAAATTGGCAGAATATTGATTAATTACTTGTCAGTTAAAATATTTATTAAATGTGCGAGGTAAGTCTAGGTATAATTTTGATTTTGCTAGTTCTTTGTATTATAGGCTTAACAATTTGATTTATGCACGTCAAAGCTTGAACGTTCGAAGTTGTACAATATTTTGCTAACATACTCCACTATATACAATGGAGCTTAGCAGAAAGAACCTAATTTTGATCTTGGGCAGCATTGTTCTACAAACCATTCATTCCTTGGGATGCCATTTCCCAAAACACGTAGCTATGGTCAACATTTTAGTCAGTTTTTTTTAGAAAATCGTACTTCCCCTTCACAATTAATTGAATTTACTCCATTAAAGCTATATCTGATGGTGTTAATTTTTGGGAACAACGAGAAATCACCTCTTACATTAAACCCAGCCAAATATCTATTTTTTTTTCAAATGTTCACGTTAGCAATTCTTATCCATGTGAATTCAACTATTTATTTGAAATTAAAATTTTTAAAGCTATCCAATGAACTGGTGCATTAAATGGATGGCTGTCTAAACTGCTTCAATTTCAGACTTATGGTTTGGAGTTCCCCCTTAGATGCGCACACATTGTAACATGTTTACATCCTTCTCAAAGGGATAATTCACAACTTTTAAATTAAAATAGCTGGTTTCAAGTTAAACTTTTGTCAAATTTTGAGTTTTTCCCACCCATAAATTGTAATTTTTTTTTAAAAATGAACTCGTGATGAATTTAGTTTTAATTATATATAATTCATCAGTTAATTATGCCAGCTGGAGTACTACAGATTCCTTTATTTAATTTATCGAAGTAAGTAAATCTCATCTAACTAAAAAAATGTATTGTGTTTATTGACTTATAATATTAGTTTTTACTGTACCGGGCGGGAGTAAAATTAATGGGGATAGAAGTTTTTTTTATACTCTATGCAGTATGTGGATACAAAGTGTTAAAAGTAGGGGTTCGCATTATACACCGGTATACTAAATTTTCATTACCATTTAACGGTATAAATAATGCCTCTACAAACATTCTGCGACCAAGCGCACTTAGTATCTGCGCATACCACCATTAATGTAAGTAGCATTCCTTTGAAGTAATATTCGCATGTTGTATAGGTATGACCAAAAATCATTTTAAATATAATAATTAAAAGGATTTTGACATTTTTATTTAAAAATAAATATTTAATTCTTTAATCGCATTGTATTATTATTAGATTACAGGTAGCATTATACATGGACATGGCATTATTTCATTATGCATGGATCATGTTATAAACGGTAATATACGATAAGTTTCATCATGAATAATGTGTAGCTTAGTACATGGAAAAAATAGTACTCAGATTTATACCAGCCTTTGGCAAATTGTAGTAAAAAAAAAACCTCGGATTCAGTACCGGGTGAAAATGTTAACCTGTTTTATAGTTTTATATTTGTAAAGTAATTATTTTACTTTTATTTTTGTATTATAAGGGCCGAGCTTGTCTTCTTGGCACCAACACTCAAAACAAGCTCCGTCTCAAAAGGGTTAATTTGACTCCCTTTAGTTTTTTTACCATTCATGTAGGACGTTTGCTTTTAAAGTTGAAGGCAATTCTGTTTGCTAGCAGCTATTTCGGCATTGCTCAAGCTTAGCTTGTTGGTACCATCTGCCCAAACCATTCTGCTATTCCCAAAGACACAAAAGCAGTTGTGATTATGATACCTTTTTTATAATATGGCCCTTATAATTGCCCTCGTTTCAGACAGTCTCAAATGCACTTATAACTGCTGGAAAACATCAAGTCTTGCAAAAACGTGCTTAAATTTGAGGTTCAAATACATTATATATATTTTTTAAATAATAGAAACCTTATGTTTCCTGACTCATGGAAGTGGAGGGTTAGGTCAAAGTGAGCAGGATTAAACCTTATTCCATAAATAAAGATTAATCAAGAACAGGGCGCCTTAATACCCTATCCAGCCTTTTATGTATTCAAACATCCATATAACTTGGAGTACGTGACTTGCCCCAGGTTAAAAGTGATGATCAAAACAATTTTAAGTAATATACTGTGTTTTAGGCATCTGTGAGTCTCCAAGAGACCATAGTGTATTTCTGCTGGAAAGAGTCTCTGGTTTAACTATAAAGCCTGGGTGTTCAGGACTATTGTATATACTCGTTCGTTAGCCAGTTTTTTTCATGAGTTAACAAACTTTGTTTTTTCAGGGAAAAGCGTGAAAAGTGTGTAACCCACTCATAAGCCAACCCAATAAAAGGAATATATAATACACAAATGAGGCCTTCCTGTGCATCTGATGCACACACAGCAGCCACATTTGGTTATTGTGTGCACTGAACAGTATGAACACTGTCAATCATGCCCGCCATATTCAACCTGGTCTGCTCTGTTGATGGGCTTTTCCCCTGGCTTTGATAGGGTGGACACTAGGGGAATGAGTGCTTCAGGGTTCTGGGCTTTAGAAACCTAATTCTTTTCTGTCTAATTTCCAACTTCTCTTTGTAGGAACAGGAGTAGTATTATCTGAATCCTCACTGTCACCTTAGATAAAAAAAGTGGTTTGGAAAAAATCCCTAACTTTTGAACCACTTGAGCTAGAAGGTCAATCTTGGTATTTTTGTAATCCATTCTCTGGGTTCTATACAGCTGTGTTTTTTTCATATTAAAAAAAAAAAATTTGAAATGTTTACCAACGTGCTGACTGTCACCACTATTAGTATTACTATCACAATTCTATTTCCATTTGGCATTTACTGACCCATCAGAAAGCTGAAAACCATCACTGAGATTAGATTCAAATGATTCATGGTTATTGTCTGATGTTTCAGCATCAATAATTCACAATAAAAGCTCTTTTGTTTGCAAATGGGATGACCTACAGCTACGTGGTCTAGCAACAGCTGATGTGCTTGGAGTGGGTGTGGCCATTGTTTTTTTTACAACATTTTCAACAAAAATCAATAAAAAAGGTTGCAATTATTGGAAAAACAGATGTTAATAAAACCTACTTCTAACAGGAAGGAAGTAGGAAGAGTTATCGTTTATTTGAGGACGTAAATAGTAGGATAGATAGCCGTAGACAACGAAATAAACTACAAAAATTAAGTCGACGATGTCGACGATATATCGTCGATTGGCACAAACGCTGCCAGTTTAATCAAATCACCGATTGGCTAGGAAAGAGTTAATGAAAAAATGTAGTATATAAATGTAGTACGATTCTGAAGTCTGAACAGTACAATGTACAGTTATATTACAGAATAAGCATATAATAAGACTCTGATTAATTAAGAGTAAGACTAAGAGTCTAAAACTAAGACTAAGAGTAAGAGTAATTAAGTAAGAGAATAGTGAATAGTTAATAATAGTGGATAGTCAAAGTGTAGTTTTGCTACTTAAAGTAAAAAGTAAGTTAGAAGTCTAAACTAAGTACTAAACTAAATTAAATTAGTAGTAGAGTTAGTAGAGTACTAGATAATAACTTTAAATAGTAATTAGTATTAAGCTATTATATTATACTATTTACTATTAGAGTATTAGTATTATTAGGCCTACTACTAAATTAGTATTTGATCATTGATTAGTAGAGTAGACGCATCCACAATCACCACAGTGTGAGTGTGACATAGTCGTGTGTCGCAGTAGTGAGTAGTGTAGTAGTGACTGAGTAGTGGTAAACCGCCTACTTCTTGTTTTCTTAACTGAATAAATATCAACTGTCATACAATTTTCAAACAGAATCATAATTATTTAATACCATGTTTACCATTAAGTTTTCCAAATGCACTACAAGGCCGAAATTGCAAAACAATTTTTGTCAAACCGGGTAAATGTATATTTATTTTAGATGCCATTTTGCCCTTGCTAATATATTTGCATGCTTAACCTTTTGTGTTACGAGTGTTCTCCCTTTAAAATGGTCTGACTAAATTACAACAATCAATTGAAAATCAATTTAATACAGGTTAAATCTTAACCCTTTTGCATTATAAGTTTAGTGGTGAGAAACTTATAAAATATTTATTTTGTGTGTTTTTTTGAATTTTTTTATTTGTTTCATGACTAAAACACATTTGAAAATTGGGCATATTGAAACTGAATACATCTGTTGAATACTGGAATAAGATACTGATGTAACCAATATGTCATTGCAAATAATGGCCCTAATCATGCCTAATGATAATGTTAAAAAAAGACTTTAAAAAAAAAATAACAACGAAAGTTTGTAGTCTTTTTTGTTTTAATGTAGGAATAAAAATGTGAAATTCTTCAATACCAGTAGATGATGGGACTTTTGTCAACCAAAGAGCCTCACTTTCACTATTAAAATGCTACTGATTAAGGCTTAGGGCAATCTGTCAACATTATGGTGCATTTTTTTATTTAAAAAAAAATTGGTATGTAAATGTAAATAGTGTTTCTTAACACTGTTTCAAACATCTTTAATATTTCACATATTCTTTTTTGTTTAAAGTTTAAAGTAACTTTTCTGAAAAATGACAGTCCGGGTTGATAAATTAGTCACGATTTATATATAATTTATATATGATGCCAGTGATGGCCTTGTATTTTGTAGAATGACCAGAGAAATAATTTCTTATCAAATTAAGCAGCGTAATTTTCGTTCAAATTTCTTCAAAATTATATAAAACATTCAATTATTCTTATTTTGATTTTTTTTTTTTTTTTGATGGTTGATATTTGGTCTCATATAACGGTAAAACTAGGCATTAAACATTATTACAAGCTTCAGATTTCGGTTAATACTTTAGGGACTGTACATTTTTTTACAAAAATGTCTAGCTTTGTTAATTTTATTAGAAGAAAAAGATTTTAATTTGTTGGGTTGGGGGGGGGGTCAAAAGAGGAACGATTTGACAGTGAATAATTAGTTCAAGCAATTTCGTTAAGTTTCAAAATAAATTTGTTTTAATCTGGTGAACCCGAATTTCAATTTCAATCATAAACATTACATCATTTTATTTTAATAAATTCACTTTAAAAAAGAAACATGGGCCTATCAAAATAGTATTATATTTCTGATTTGAGGCATGCGCCCCATGTAGATTACCAATGGTATAGCTTAAACACTATTTTGCGTGCTTAAAATGGTTGTTTGTTTTTTTTTTGTGTTTTTTTTGGTATGTCTTATGTAGGTCATTGGGACTGAGATAGATAGGCCACAGTTGACAGTGTAACATGGCGTCTGTTAACGACTGTACACCTAAACGAATTGTAAAGCTTGGTCACAGAAATGTCGAGTTCCCGTCTGTTCATTTGAAAGTTATGGAGGATTGCAATCATTTATTAAAGGACATTACCGCATTACGCAATGAGATGCATCAAAATGGGTATGTTAAGACACATTCATGTGTGGAATAAATCAATCAAATGATATATTTATACAATCTGAGTATCTCTCCTTATCTTTTGAATTAATACGGACTAAGAGCTGGGCCGTGCGAAAAAGGTGGTGATGAAGGGGGCACACGCTGGGGCGCCAAAATCGTAATTTTTCATTCAAACTATGTGTATCAATAACCACTATTTTGGGAAGAGCCTTTGCTAGCCACGACCCAGACTGGGGGACAAGCAAGTGTATCTTAGAAATCTTGCTAAGGTTGTCAAAGGGAAACAACCAGAGGCGCAGGTATGCCTAGGGCTGGGGGGAGGAAACAGTAAATTTGCTTCCAATAAGAGTTGGTGGAGGAATAATATCTACCCGCCCCCCCCCCCCCCCCCCCCCCCCCCCCCCCCCNGTAACAAAATTAATTTGAAAAAGAAAATAATACAAATACTGAATTATTTTTATATTTTTTTTTTTTTTTTGTCGTTGGGAGGGGGTATTATTAGGAAGGGGGAAGGGAGGGATATGATATTGTCAAGTTAAGGCTGTGAATTGAAGTACAACCCTCTAGCATGGAGCTACATTTGTTTTGACCGCACAGCCACGCGGGCAAATTTTAAGAATGAAATTAAAAATTATAGACAGAATAATTTATTATTATTTTTGTAAAATAATTAAAGGATTTGATAATTTTATTTGCTGAAAAATGTAAAATACATTTTTTATCAATCCTACAATTGAATAGTAAAAAATGTTAGAACAATTTTGAACTCTACATTTTTCTATTACTAGTATTAATAGTGACCTCCCAAAGTAAACTCCAATACCATGCCTGGCACAATACACAGTAAAAAATTTACCGTCCAAGGTCTTGGGTGGAAGAGGGTTGACTTCCACCATGCCATTTGAGTAATAATGGCTAATGGGGGCAACGTCTTCTTTATTGGGTCCTACTGAGAAACTGTCTTCAATGCATATTCAGTAACTGCATAAAAAAATAAATCCTTAGTGGATATCGATAATTCCTATCAAGACCATTAGGCTACCCGTCAAAAAAAAAAAAAGACATGTATGAAGGATTCAATTAATCATAATAATGGAGAATTTTAAAGAGGATACACATGCATATTCTGAAAATGCAAAACTGTTCCGAACTATTCAAATTAAAACTCTTTAGATCGCCACCCCCATTTTCATTGGTTTTTTGGTTTTGTTTTTGGTTTTGTTTTTTGGTTTTGTTTTTGGTTTTGTTTTTGGTTTTGTTTTTGGTTTTGTTTTTGGTTTTGTTTTGATCAATAAACAAAGGTTTTATACAGTAAATTTTTGGCTTAGATGGACGTTTGGGAGGGGGAGTAATGCGTTATTATGTTAGACGAAGATCAGAACTGATTTATATGTAGCCAAAATAATGTCCGTTTCAACAGGTATTTGTTGATTAGGGGACTCCATGATAGAAGTGAGGTACTAGCTGCGAGGGAGGCAGTGCTGGAATACATTGGCTCGTATGGGGACACACTTGACCGAAGTCACCCGATCGGAGACGGAGTTTTACGAGAAGGATGTGGGCTGGGTTGCCTCCCAGTGATTGAGGTGAAAGAAGAGTTTATCACATGTTGGTTTACCATCGATGATAAATAAAATGTCACGTGAAGGCAGGGCGGGAGGCCTTGACCGGGTAGAGTTAACACTGTTTATTTAGTCACATGCATTCAGTGGTGTAACTAGGGTTAGTGCCGCCTGGGGTGAGCCAAGATGTTTACCACCCCATGGGAAAACTCTGCAGTTAGACAAAAATGCCGCCCCTTAATATTTAAGGAAAAAAATGCCGCCCGGCATTATAAATCAGACACGTTACCCAGTGCGGTCCACATTGTCATTTGTGAGCATTTGCATGAACTCATAGTTTGTCAATATTTGGGGTTTGTTCACAAAACAATAATCAATCAAACAAAGGTTTAAATTATTATTCAAAAAGAAAAAAACCTAAATGACCAGCCCATTAGCATGGGGCGATAAATAGATAAATAGCGAAGGGTGTAGATGAGCCAGATGTGATAACCGTGTCTCGGGGACTGGCTTTAACTTAATTAACTTGTCTCTAATTTGGACAATGGTGTATGGCCTATTCCAGGCAGTGACGTATGGAGGGGGGGGGGAACCGGGGGTGTGGTCTGCCATGGGCGGCAATTTATTTCTTTATATGGAGGGTCGGCATTTTCGACCAACAGCATAGTTTTTTTTTCGTAGAAGTGGGCAGTAAAAATTATCGTCAGCCTTGGGCGACACTAACCCTAACTACGCCACTGATTCTAGGCGTTCTGTAACTTTTCAGCATCGACCCATCCCTTCTTGAGTTCAAATCATTCCCTGCCTCGATTTTAAAACATATTTCCGCAGCCCCCCCCCATGTTAAAAATGCAAATAAAACGGCAACCAGTTTTTTCTGGAGCTTCCCGCACCCCATTGACACTGCCTCCCGCATGTCATGGGAATGCGGGTACCCTTGTAAAAAACATCATGCTCTATTCTGTTAAGAAATTTTTACTGTTTTCTTTTCACCAGGGTCGTAATGACATCTCTCACAAAGACATTGTGCTCTCAGTCGTTGAAGGGAAGAGACGTGAGTGTTACAGTAACAATACAGTAACAATATAGTAACAATACAGTAACAATACAGTAACAATACAGTAACAATACAGTAACAATACAGTAACAATACAGTAACAATAATTACAGTAAAAATACAGTAAATTACAGTAACAATGCAGTAACAATAATACAGTAACAATATAGTAACAATACAGTAACAATACAAAAACAATACAGTAAAAACAATACAGTAACAATACAGTAACAATGCAGTAACAATACCGTAACAACAATACAACAACAATACAGTAAAAATACAGTAACAAAACAGTAACAATATAACAAAAAATAGCAACTGAAAGGGTTTTGTACATTAAGAGCCTTTAAAAAATCAATTTCCAAAACAAAAAAAAAGGGGCAACTGTATCATTGCCCGACTCGATAACAAATTTGATTATTTTGATGTTTTCAGAAACTTTTTTTTTTGTAATAAAAAAAAACAACAAAAAAAAAAAAACAGGTAGCACATTGATAACTAGTCAGTTAAACAATACAACAAAAATACAGTAAAAATACAGTAACAAAACAGTAACAATATAACAAAAAATAGCAACTGAAAGGGTTTTGTACATTAAGAGCCTTTAAAAAATCAATTTCCAAAAAAAAAAAAAAGGGGCAACTGTATCATTGCCCGACTCGATAACAAATTTGATTATTTTGATGTTTTCAGAAACTTTTTTTTTTGTAATAAAAAAAAACAACAAAAAAAAAAAACAGGTAGCACATTGATAACTAGTCAGTTGTGAAACAGGAGAGAAATTTGTGAATGCATTTAATTTTATTATTTCTAGTCGAATTGTTCAATTATGAATTGTTATGTTTTTTGAAAAATGCCTAGCAGTAGCACAGCAACCCCCGTTTAAAAAAAAAAAAACCACCAAAAAAAACCAACAACAAAACAAACAAAAACACAAAACACAACAAAATACAATGACAGAATCCATCGAATTTTCAATTAGTTATAGAATCTGAAAGATATGATCTATTGCTATATGTTTGTGTTTTCTATTGTTTATTTTTTCGAGGACATTGCCCACTTTGACATACGAAAAATATTTCACTGTAAGAGAAAACTTATCCGAAAGTGTTTATTTTTAAACAATCTTGTAAGTGTTTTAAACCAAATTGATGTTACAAATTATTTAATGAGATGTTCATTAAAAAACAAATATACATTTTAGCTGCATTTACATGTCTCAGCAGAAAGTTCATAAATGTGTTTTTAATTCCAGCCTATGACTTCTTCCGTAAATATTTTAACGAAGAGGTGATGACCTTCGACTACAAGTGGCTGAGGTAAGGTGACAATGTAAGAGAGATTCATTGCTGCAGCCTCCTTTTTAAACTATTTTATCGCCTGTTTGCAGAGCGTGGGCCTCAGACATTTCATGGGCCCAAGTTTGTTATGGGAAATAATTTTAAACTATTAACTTTGATTGCAGTGCTTACAAAACGGAACCGTGGCAAGGGGTGGGGGTCTTCCAAATCCCATGACGGATTTGCTGTTTTAGGCCCCTGATCTAAAAACGATATGACGTAGGAACAAACACACGCTTGAATATAAATACCAAAAATAAAAGAATACCGAAAAAATGAAGAAACGTTGAAGAATAATGTATAATTTTAATTATATCTATTTTATTTTCCTAAAATTAACATCTTAAAAAATCTTTGTGACTTCGTTTACCTCTAATCCCCTCCCCACCCACAAAAAAAAAGTTAAAAAATCAATAACCAACAAGAACATAATCCCAAACAACTCTCATGATGCATCAGTGTGGTAGTATCCAACTGCGATAGATCTGTGACATAAACACACTATGTAACTCATTCAGGGCTATGCATCAGGAAGGTTTCACGGGTGTCCACGTAGACAACGTCTACATGTCACGGGGCTCCAAGGAGTTGTTGACCATGTGGACACCAATAGGCGACGTCAGTATCGAAATGGGGGTGTTGGCCATCTGTGAAGGCTCAAACAGCTTACCAAGGTAGGTTTAGTGAGGCTGACAGGTTGTGTGTAAAATCTAACAAGTTCGGATTCGTGAGGGCTCTCAAATACGTTTTGTATAAAGTAGGTTCAGACAGACTCCCAAATTAAACGTTTCATGTATTTAGAGTAAATTTAGTCACAATCATTATTCTATATTGAAATATAATATAATATATATATATATATATATATATATATATTATATATATATTCCTCAGCTTTGAACGGTTGCAGTCAACATACGGCCAAATGGACGCAGAGGCTGTAGGACTAAAAGGTGTGTTTATTTATTTTTATCATAGTAAAGATTACGATTTACTTGGGTGGTGATGTGTGAGCATATCCGCACACCACGAGATAACACTAACACTGATAGTTAAATCATTTATATAAGAGTTTAGTCAAAAATGACAAGTAGTTCTACAGTGGGTCATCCCCATTACTAAAGGAAACAATATTTTTATGTAGTCAATCATTGGAAGTACACATAATCTGATCTCCTTAGCCGTAGCTGTTTTGGCTTAATTTCCATTGCGATATTTTTTCCCATTTAAAAAAAAATAAATTCATTTCATCGCGTGCAGGGACGGGCTGGATAACTGAAGATCCATTTGAGATAACTGCAAAGTTTGGAGGGCAGTGGAAGACAGCAGACTTTCAAGCTGGGGATGTTCTCATATTTAATATGAGGTATGGAACAATCTAGTTTATGAATGTGTAGTCTGTATACAGGGGCGGGGCAGGAGGAAAGAAGTGTGTGTGATGTTCTCATATTTAATATGAGGTATGGAACAATCTAGTTTATGAATGTGTAGTCTGTATACAGGGGCGGGGCAGGAGGAAAGAAGTGTGTGTGGGGGGGGGGGGTGTCATCTTTAAGTTGAATGAAAAGTAATGTTATTAAAAACCGGAGAACTGACATAATTAATTGTCTTAATATCGGCAGACAGTTTCAAAATTACCAATTAATTATTAAGTTCACTTTTAGCTGTGTTTATTTAGCATTTTTTGTCAATGAAAGTTATAAAATTTATTAATTTTCAGGTGGGGGGAGATCAACCCTTTGTCCCATACTGCAGGCGCCGTTGTCTGTATAATGTAAATAGCCTTAGGCTCAGTTCACGTGACCAAATTCATTTCAAATTTTCTTTCATACATTTGATGCGATTTTTTGTATGAACCCTGGTCACACCTTTCAAATTAATTTTTGATAAATTCTCATTTTTGCCCCCAAAAAGATACCACGCACAAAATAGTGCGTTCATAAAAAAAATGTGACGCTAATCTGAAGGAAAATTTGATCATGTGAACTAAGGCTTACTGGCATAATAATGGCAAAAAAATAAATGGGGTTATTAACTTCAAATATACGTGGGGTCCATTTAATTGAAGTGTCATAAGGATATAAATAGTATTAGACATTGACGTGCTCGTGCTGTAAAACATTTTTAAAGCACGATTCTTTCTCCAGAACTGTTCACATGTCTACAACAAATACAACAAAGTTTGCCAGGATAAGCTGTGATACAAGGTAAGTTCAAAATATTGAATGAAAAACAAATAATAAAGATTTTCAATGCAGATAGTTCAGAAAAGGCTCTTCTAAAATCATCTTTAAAGCTAACGCAGTTATCTGAGTAAAGATATATAGGCTACCTAATTCTATCATTCAAAATAATAATATATAGAACTGCTTTTAAAATGAGTCAAATGTGTAAAAATCAATAATCAGTGCAGTACTGCATCTTGTGATAGACTTAACCAAAAGTAATTGAATATTAAATGTTTAAATTTAATTGTTTTTTTTTTAAAAATCAAGATTTTCATGTCCTTTTAAGCCAAAATCCCTTTTTAATCCTAGATGGCAGCCCTTAAGTCATCCAGTTGATCCCAGATTTTGTGGCAATGTTGAGATTTCAAAATCCAAATTTGGCTTGCTGAGCAAGATGGATGATGAAAGTGTCCCGTTTTCCACCACAATTGAACAGCTGAGAGCAAAATGGGGAATTTAAGCTCCACATCAAAATCGAATTGGAATATTAATGAGTAAACTAGCAGAGTGCAGCAAATTAATGAGTAAAATAGGACAGCGCTTATAACTACATCAGTCTGAATGTTGCTTTATTTCCCAGCAGGTCTTTAGATATTTGTTTCCATAAAAAATAATGACTGCTATTTGATGGTTTTAGAAGAGACAATGGTTTATGAAGAGTTTGATTATAATGTTTATTTAATTTTTTTAAATAATTTATTTCTTCTTAATTTCTTCATATAAAAAAGAGTTTTGAAATAATTTGTATATAAATACATGGTAACATCTTATAGCCTTTAGCTTTTTAATTATAAGGCAGTGTAGTCCAATGTTCACATTTTTCTTTTGATTATAAGTTAAGGGATTGTAGTCCAATGTTCACATTTCTCTCTTAATTATTAGAAAAAAACTAGAAACAATGTACACGTTTGTTTATTCTGGCATTTAAAAATAATCTTGATTTTTTATTTATTTACCATTGTTGTTAAACTATCATCTCATTTTTATTAAAAGATGTTTTCACTGCATCAAAGAATAATTACACTTCCAAATTAGTGTTTTCAAATGAGTTACTAATGATTGATATCCTGGTAGTTGTAACTACAGTCTGTCTGACTTACATCCCATGTATTTGATTTCCATAAAATCTTGACATTTTCTATCATCCATAAAATCTCAGAACATTTTCTATCATTTTATTTGGAACCAGCTGTGCTCTGTTGCCTGTATTGAGGTCAGCCTTTCTTTGGGGTCAGTTTGTAGAAGTCTGTCTAAGAAGTGAAGCCCGTCTGAGAATTGAAAACACTGAGTTAATAAATTAAACTGCACTGAGTTACAAAAGTGTATCACTCCAGATTAATATAAGATTACATTTCAGAAATTTTTTTGAACACTGTGGGCAACTTACCAGCATTAATTTCTGATATACAAATGTTACAAAACTTACCGGCATCAATTTCTGATTTCCAAATTTTACAAAACTTACTGGCATCAATTTCTGATATACAAATGTTACAAAAATTACCAGCATTAATAAAGAATATACAGATAACTTTTTAAACATGAGTCATTTTGTAAATAACAAATATATATATATTAAAATTATGTTTATAAATATATATGTATAGTCTTGTTGACCATATGACATCGACCAGCAACCAGCTAAATCACACCCCCTCATCCCCAACCCATCTCACCCCATCCCCAACCCATCACCCTTTGGACAATGCAATGTCACATCTGATATTGTCACAACATTTGTTGGTAAAGTGATAAGGAGGAACCTACCCCCATGAATTCGCCAAATGTGTCGACAGTTTTAAATATTACTTTTCCTTGAGATACTTTTATTGTTGAAAAACTTTTTTTGTCTTACATGGAAAAAATCAAGATTTTATTACTAAAAGTTCACCTTTAAATGTAAACATCGTCTAAAGTTTTAAAAAGGTATCTTTAAAGTTAACCTCTGGATATGGCAGGAAGATCTAACTTTAAAACTAACTTTTGGATATGGCAGGAAGATCTAACTTTAAAACTAACTTTTGGATATGGCAGGAAGATCTAACTTTAAAACTAACCTTTGGATATGGCAGGAAGATCTAACTTTAAAACTAACTTTTGGATATGGCAGGAAGATCTAATTTTAAAACTAACCTTTGGATATGGCAGGAAGATCTAACTTTAAAACTAACTTTTGGATATGGCAGGAAGATCTAATTTTAAAACTAACCTTTGGATATGGCAGGAAGATCTAATTTTAAAACTAACCTTTGGATATGGCAGGAAGATCTAATTTTAAAACTAACCTTTGGATATGGCAGGAAGATCTAACTTTAAAACTAACTTTTGGATATGGCAGGAAGATCTAATTTTAAAACTAACCTTTGGATATGGCAGGAAGATCTAACTTTAAAACTAACTTTTGGATATGGCAGGAAGATCTAATTTTAAAACTAACCTATGGACAGGCAGGAAGATCTAACTTTAAAACTAACTTTTGGATATTGCAGGAAGATCTTACTTTAAAACTAATTTTTGGATATGGCAGGAAGATATAATTTTAAACCTAACCTTTGGATATGGCAGGAAGATCTAACTTTAAAACTAACCTTTGGATATAGAAGGAAGATCTAACTTTAAAACTAACTTTTGGATATGGCAGGAAGATCTAACTTTAAAACTAACCTTTGGATATGGCAGGAAGATCTTACTTTAAAACTAACCTTTGGATATGGCAGGAAGATCTAACTTTAAAACTAACCTTTGGATATGGCAGGAAGATCAGTAAATATTTCAAATTTCAGCAAAGTCTTGTATGAGCCGCGTCCATGTTTTATTAGTAAGGTAGGAAGTGAACCATGTAACATCTCCACAATGGTGATGCCCCTGGTGTAAAAAATAAACCTCATGTTAGTCACAAGTTAAATAACCAGCTGACAAAGGTGGACAAACTGTGCCTACTTCTTGCTATTCATTGGAAGCAACTCCCCCACCCCAAACTACCTTTCTCCCTCCCCTCAATAAATTGAACGAAAACAAAAATAAAGAAAAATAGATACACATGTTATGACAATACTCTCAACTCCAACGGGAATGCCACAATTCAAATGTTTCACTATTATGGCCCGTGTATGCTTCTGATGCCGTCTTGAGTTTACTCACAAGCTCCACATATCCACAGGACAGCCGTAACCTTCTTTACTCGTGACCTCTGGTGCCATGTACACAGGTGTGCCACAAGATTGAGTCAGGTTGGGCAGTGTGAAGCTCGTGGCACTGAGACCAAAATCTGAACAAATAGCCAGGGTGGGTGGGTGGGTTGGGGGGGGGGGCAACTCATGTGTCATTACATGGGTGATGTGTGTATTGCCGACATCAAAATTCTTTGCGATCAATATACAAGTGCAATCGAATAACAGTAGATTTGTTGTTTTTTTTAAGTGTAATAGTAATTGTATTATTTGAGTTAGAAAACGAAAGCTTAGTTTTCATTTAATAAACTTAAATCTTATATAGTAACATCACTTAACATTTTAGATAGACGCCTGATTACCTTTTGGTCAGATATTAGCATATCTAAGATTTTTTACAAGCAATGAAAACGCGTTTATTAAATCCGCACCCCCCCCCCCCCCCCCC